TCATATCTCAGGAACTAGAGTCCTAAAATTTTATATGTACAATTTTGACATACAAGTGAATGTTTGGAGACAAAATGGACTGGCTGTAGGGGGCGTGGTACCTCCCGTATAAAGAAAATATTAAATAAGTACATCTGATAACTAGATTAATATAAAACTAATATGTACCATATTTTAAAAATTTTAAAACAAAAACTAAAATTCAAAGCAAATTACTTTCTGCTTCTATATTAAAAACCCAAATGTAAAGAAGATTCAATTTGCATAATTAAACATTTTTCCGAAATGTACCCTGTTGTCCGCTTTTAGAGGAAATCCGATTAATTTCTATTTTGATTTAAATAAATCAGTTAATCAACCACTCAGTAATTTGTAAATATAGTAATCAAGTCAACGATACACATTTTATTTGATCGTTTGTGTAACGTAAAACGTACGGTTTTATCTTGTAATTTTTATTTTTGTGATTAAACAATTGTCTATTTAAGTTGACGCCGATACGAGTGCATAGTTATTGTATGTAGTAGTAGGAAAAATATATTTATTGTGATTCAAACACAACTACCTAAATCTAAATTAACTTGTGATTCAACTTTTAATTTAACACAAAACAAAACGAAAAAAAAAAGAAACGTATTACTTTTTCTGTTTGTTTCCTCTTGTTATATGATGATTATTGTCTTCGTTTATTTCGTATAAAACAAAAGTTTTACTTTATCTACTTCCAAAAAGTATTTTCATTAACAAAAAAAGTAATAAGCAAGCGAACTTGTTTTTTTTTTCTTTTTGCAGCAAATGATTTCATTGTTACTTTTTTATTTTTTAAGATAATTTTGCAAAAAAAAATATAAATGAGAGACCAATACATGTTTACCCACATTTGTAAAAAAACTGGTTTAAACCAAAATACAATTTAAGTATTTTAAAATATATAACCAAGAAAATCATAAAATTGTTGAAAGCTATTAAACCGCTTGGGGTTTCAAATTCTAATTTGATAGACTGTGATTACTGGAACTACTACCACGAAAATTTATACCGCAAAAATACATTGTAACTTTGTACTTTGTTCTAAATATTTTTTTTGTTTAATATTAAATTAATAAACATTGAGAAATTTTAACATAATGAGTTTATTTAATGAATTTGAATAATATATATTTTTTATATAAATCTAGATTTCTTAAATTTAAAAAAATCGCTGATAGTTATCGTATTTTAATAATAATAAAACTTAATTCAAACTCTAATCTTGGATAAAAAATTTTATAAAATTAATTTTGTGCGTGAGATTTTTGATATGCAACAGCGTTTTTTTTTAAATTGATCGATCTCAAAAATAAACTGGTATTGATCACGGTCTATAAACAATACGTTTTTTTAGAAACAAAATATCATTTACATAGAGCTACTAAAAATCAAGATTTACCTAACATAATGGATTCGTTTGAAACTCAATTTTTTGGGTACAGAACACATTTCACTTCAAATCAGAACATGGTACCTGAAATGGGCTTGACAGTAAAAAAAATAAAATTAAAGATGTCAAAAATGCCCTTCAAAATTGGCTTCTGAAAAAGTAATATCGAAAAACTCAAGCACGGCAGTCGTAAATGCAAATAACGTATATAACCGTCATAAATTTTTCAAAATTTATTTCACTATAAATTAGAGTATAATAATAATTTTTTTAATTAAGTGTGCATTCATCATATTTTGAGTGAGCATAAACGAGTTAAAAGACATTTTGACATATATTTATCCTGACAGTATAAAACAAAAATAATAGAAAATATTTCCCAACTCTTCTTGTTCTGTTGACATCAAATTTGTGATTGTTTGAATAGTAGAAGTTTTTAAAATTTTTTTTAGAAAAATTTTCCTTCTCTAAAATTTTTAAATCCTTTAAAAAGGACACAGGAAATGAAAAACTAATTTTTTTCCATTAAATTTATAGTTTTAGGCGTATGTATATCATCCCTTTCATGTCTAATGATTGTTTTTTTTTTGTCGGACGATGTTATCATGGCAAAGACAAGAAGTTAGTAGCAGTACGCCATCACTGCGTGGACGCTACATCCGAACGAGCATAATCGTGGAAAGAAAAATTGATCCGAAAAGTAAAAACAAAGATGTAGGAGGAGCAGACAAAATTAAAAAACAAAATTACAAAAGCGTAGTATAGGTGGACACTAAGGCTTTCAAGGCCAGGATAAGTGAGAGGGGTGGTGACACGGGCATAGCGTTAGACGGAGGACTAATAGTGACTGACGTTCATAACAGGATCATGGAGCATTAAGGACACATTTTTAAAGTGGACGAGCTTCTAGGGCTGTCAAAGGACTCTTTCCGAGAATCTTGTGCCACTCAAAAGTTTGAGCACATGCCGCATTCAAGATAAATAAAATATTTTAATTTTGAAAATATACAAAATTTAACAACTCATGTACCTAGTCGTTCAAGTTAAAACAATTACTACTTCTTAATAATTTTACTAAACATTTACATTGTGTTTACTGAATCGTATCAAGATCGTTCGTTCATACAAAATGATCTTCATAGTAATTTAAATTATGTATACAAGTAAAAAAAAAAAAAAAACATAGAGCACGCGTGTTTATCGACTTTTTGTTAATGTTGTATTAAAGGCAATTCAAAAATGTTTATTTCAAAATTCTTTTTTATATATTTTACGTTTCATTGATTAGCAATTTTATAAAACAACTAACTTTATTACAGTTTTATAAACTAAATATCATTTTTATTACCATTCATTTTAAATTTGAAGATCTATATTAATATAGTAGTAGAACTAACCTCAGTCATCATCCTTTTATGTTTCGAAGTCAGTAACAATTTAAAGTGATTAGCATGTCTTAAGAATTTTACGCATGAATGGTTGACTGACTGGGTAGCTGACTGACAGACAGGCTACTCACTTTTGAAATATGTAATGTGTTTTGTAATAATTTATTAATGTTTTTTTTTTTTGTGACCGGAAACCTTTGATTGTTTTATTTTTATTTATTAGTAAAATATTATACATGTATTATTTATAACAATCTTTAAGAAATAACAAAAGTAAATTTAAATTAATCAAATATAAATTCTGCAGGAAAATCGATTTGCTGCAAAGGGGAGGCATTGATAGTTAAAGACAGAATTTACCAAATCTTTAAACCTAATCATATACTATGTACATAGTTTTAATTAAAATTTAACTAATAGGTATGATTTCAAGTTTATTCCTTTTTTTTAAAACTGTTTTTAAATTAAAGTTAATTATATAAATATTCAACAAAAATAAATGCAAATTTTTTGAACTTCATTAAATTGTTTTAAACATAAATCTATTTCAAACCAATTAACCAATATTTAACAAAGTTTCCGTATAAATGAAAAAAAAAAAATATTTAAAAAAATATAAAAAAAATCATAAATATTTATTGATTAAAATTAACATAATTACAATTTTATAATTGTGCATGTATACGAATGGATAGACAAGTGCCAAAACCACTGACAACAGCTGAATTAAAACATAAAATTGAAACTAATCAAGCCACAAATAAAACAAACAAAAATAAATTTTACAAAGAGAAATTTATTCAAACAAACCAAACTAAAGAAGAATGTGAATGTGAAAAACTAATAAAATTCAAGTTAACAAGTTTTTTTTTTCATTTTAGTTTATTTGCAGTTAAAAATGAAATAAATTTGAAAAAAGTGAAGAGGAAATAAAATATAAAACAAAAATGTTAAATGGAAAAAAGGGTAAAGAGATGACAAATTTTTTTAAATGCAAAAACAACTACATATATGAATAATTTTTTTGTTATTGCTTTTTGTATAATAAAGCACTGGAGCATAATAAAATAGTTTTGAAGCAAATATTTGTATGAGAAATAATGAAATAAATTAGTTAAATAAATGAAAGTGTGCAAATGTTTTTTTTAATTTTTGTTTTTAAATATTAAATTAAATTTAAAAAAATTATTTTGTTTGGATTTCTAAACTAGTTTCCCTTTTAATGTTGTTTTGATTTTTGCCTTAATCCCTAACTTTGATCGTTCCTCATAAAAAGGGATTTATGTTGATATAAAACTTATTTTTGTCAAATATTATAGAGGTAATAAAGTTAATATGTGAATTTTCGACTTTGAGTCACTCACTAAAGCGGAATTTGTATGGCAGTGGTTCCGTACTAAAAAAAATCAAGGAAAAGGGTTAATTAATAACTTAAGATTTTTCTTAGGAGGGATATCTGGTAAATCACCAGATACATCATGGATATACATCATGGAATTTCAGATGATTTTCAGAGTTTGTAATGTATTGTTTTTAATGTAAAAAGATTACATTTAATTGTAAAGAACTCCTCTACAAAGTTTTTGTTGAAAGGTACACTTATTCCTCTTTATAAATTATGATCTAAATAAAAATATAATCATTAGGTCACATGGAACAGCATACATACGTACATATGGAAATTATTTTACTATATTTAGGTGTTAGGCATTTTGAATTCAATTGGGCTCATAGTAAATACTCTGATTCATTAGTCGTAATAACAAAAGTTAAATAAATAAATGAAATTGCCTTAATGCAAAGAAAATAAATAATACTTAACCTCAATTTAATGAAATTAAAATAAAGTACCTCAATGACAAACCATTTTCTATATGGGTTAAATAAATATAAATTTAAAAGTTTTACTACAAACAATAAAATAAAACTTTGAACATACCAAGCCTTAAATAAAAATAATAATAATAACAATCATATTATTGACAACACTTTACGTTGACACATTATTCAACAATTTCTCACAAGATGGCAACTTTGCAACTTTTGCGAATAAAAGAAATGGCAAACGGAGAAAAATCAATATGTCGTACTTTTATATGCTAAAACAACTAAAAGGGGAGCTTTTAAATAACTGTTAACCACATTTATACCTAAATAAAAGAAAAATTAAAGCAACAAAATAAAAAACTTACCTTTTATACGATGAAATTTTCAAAATTAAACAAATACAACTTTTTTTCTAATTGGCACTAAAAATATTTACACACATACGTACGAACATTTACACTATAAAATAATGGCAAGTTTCTTTTTTATTTATTTTCGGGGTCCCCTCCGTTCGTTCGTTTCTTGTTTTATTTTATTTTTTGTTATTTTACAGCTATTGTTGTTGTACGGTGGTTATTTCTAATTGTATGTTTTTCTTTCCAGCAGTACTTTGCCACAATGATTTTGCCAAAATTACGTATACTTGTTAAAATGTTGTTTTTGCAAGTGCTCCTCTGTTGTTGTAAATTACCGTTTTTTTGTTTTAAATATTTTTTTTTCTGCAACCACTGTTTAATAATTTACTTATTTAGTTTAGTTTTTATTATTATGTTGGATTTGTTTTTACTGTTCCTTTTTTTCAGTAAATTATGACAATGGTGGGGGTAATTAGATTTCATACGATTTTGCTTACGTTTAAGATATTTTGCTAAACAATTTATGTTTTAATTCTTACAGAACTCGTTTATTTGTTTTCTTTAATATTGTTGTAATTTGGCCTTTTTAAACTATTCTTTTTTAAATTAACACGGACTTTTTTGGATTTTTTTACACGACAATCAACTAGAAATTTTTTTTGCCAGACCGTAAATCACGTCTGTCGTTTTTTCGTTCGTTTTGGCAATTGGAAAAAAAAGAAACAAAAGAGAAAAGAATTAAACAGTGTTGACCGTTTAGCGATTTTACTTTTAGCGGAAATTTTTAATATATCTTTAGTGTTGCCATGATAAACGAAAAATAAAAATTACCAGCAACGATTTAATCTGACATTTTCTTTCTCAAGTAAAGTTAATAGCCACTTAGAAGTTTTACGACTTACCAGTACTTTTTAAATTATAAACCAGGATAAAAGTAGACAAAATAGCCTTCTCAAAAATAGCTTTTCAACATCTAGAGTTACGAAAATACATTATAAAAACCGATTATATAACTTAAAATTTAATTTATTATATATTTTAGTGATTATTTTTTCTACTTCTTAATTTTTTCCTTAATTTCTATTAAACTATTATCCTCTTCAACCTTATATTTTAATATTTTTGCATAATTCTTTAATAATCTTCTCCAATAACATTCAACATCTTGCATTCTCAAATGCTGCGAAATGAACTCAAAACCATTATTAGCTATTTCTCTAGCTAAATCGTCATGCTCTTGGAAAAATTTTAGTATATCTTCAATATCCTTTTCGTTAGGATATTTTTTAAGTGGCACATAATGTATCCAAGGTTTCATAGAGGGATAGAAAAATTCCAGCCATTCATCGCCCACATGAAAGACCAACGATTTACAAAGGAATAAATGCTTAAAACGGAAACTAGCCGCTACTCCTCTGAAATTAAAAAGATATTTATAACGACAATGCTCCTCAAAAGAAACTTCTTTAGCCGGCTCAGCATTTAAAGTGTCTTTGGGTGATTTCCATGCTTGATTTTTAGTATACTGTGCATTAACCAAGTTAGGCATACGTCTTGAAAGTAAAACTAAAGAATCCCTTTCATCGGAGGTGCGTGATCCTCTAAAAAATGCTTTAGATTCCTTTGAGCTCCATTCTAGTTTTTCGGCAGCTTTGATGATTTTGTCTCTATGCAAATCCCATCTTCCTATGCCGGTAGGATGCAGTGATATGGCAGGCCCTCCAGCCCAAAAGGTCCAGGCAGGATACATTATGTCCAAGTAGTCGGCCGTCTTTGAAAATGACAATACTGGTCTCATTTGGTTGCCAAATTTGGAATGTACTTGAGGATAATCACGTGTATTGAGAATGAAATCCATGTCAGGTAACTTTGGCAATAGTTTTAAAATAAAATGTTCAACACCCTCACATCTGGAGGGGAACATACAATTGGCATGTCTATATAGCTTATGTTTATAGATTTTATAATGTGTGCCATAATTGGCAGCCTCTTTGATCATTTGTTTTGTGATGCCCCTTTCTCTAAAGTGTGCCAAATCTTTACGTATAACATCTACATGGCACTCGCAATTGGCATCATCCATATTGGCGGTACAAGGACGATACTTTTTCTGGGCTTTATTTACAGCTTGAAATATTACATTATTTACTAAAAAGGGAATACAAGTTAATTTGTTTTTAGGATATGTATGCGCTTTCTCCAATCGTTTACCTTCTTTGTATCTTTCGTTTACCGATGGAATGTTTTCATTGTTTTGGCAATCGTTTTTGTTTTCTATCCCGCATTGTGTATTCTCCAAGCTTTCGGGATTGTTTATGGTGGCAGAATTTTTGGAAATGATTAAAAATATTGTTAAAAATAAATGCAAAAAGTGCATTGCTGTTTATCGTTTTTGTTTATATTTTTACTATCATAAAAAAATTGTTGCTGCCAAGTGTCAAATAGGGTTTTTCATTTTTTCTCAATTACTTTGTTGTCAAATTCTAGCGATTTTGTTTTTACTAAGTACAACACTGTATATGTACAATAATTACATTTACAAATTATTTTACAAAATAAATGAATATATAATAAATCCAGTATTCTTCCAACTTTTTCAAATTGAATTTTCCAATCCTGAGAATTTTTGAATAGCCACAGCAATTTTGCTGCGTTCGAAACAAACCCTCATATTCATTAAGCGTTAGCATCGTCTAAAGTCGCATATTTTAAAGCCACTTTTATTGGTAAATTTTACACATAGACCTCGGCACGAAATAGCAGATTTTTGGCTGTGACTGACCATGGCTCACTTGTAGGAATGTATTTTTTTTGTGGATTTTGACATTTGACCTTTGAAGCCTATATACAAGTCTATGTATAAAAACTTATAAATAATTGTCAGCTGGGCTAACAATGTTACCTTGCTGTCAGTTTATATAAATCGCCTTCGAACACACATAGTTATTGTTCAATAAAGCTTATATTTTTATTGGAAACAATTTTAAACCTAGAAATATTATACATATTTGAATTATAAACATTAAATAAATGTAAACAATTTAATAAGTAAAAAAACGGAAAAATCTAAAAAAGCTAAATAAATGTTCGAAAATTCGACAATTTCAAAATTGTAAAAAGTCGACTTTTCATAAATTGCAAAGTCTAAAAGTCGATTTTTGGTTCAACTATAGAACTGTAGTATTGGTAGTAGAAAAATGTCAAAAGTTTTTTTTTTTGACATATGAAAAATCATCAATGGTTTTTTCTACAAATATTTTTTTTGTTTTTACTTTGTTCTGCCTCATCAAAAAGAAAAAGATATAAAATTTTCAGAGAAAAGTGAAATTTTGTTTTAAAATCAATTAATTTAACTCCCATAATATAAAGTGAATAATAAATAAACGGAAATGAGTGATTTTTTCAAATCTGCTATGGGTTATTTTAATAACCCATCATCAGCAAACAATAGTTCATCTAATCCCAATAGTGGTGGCTCCTCAAACAGTGGAGTTCTAAATGCCAACACATACAAAAGTTCAACATCAACAGCAGCGTTTCAAGACAATGAATTTTGTGGCCAAACCGTGGAGATCAATGGTCATAAGTTACGCATTAAAGGAGTCATTGCCGAAGGTTTGTACAGCAATTACATACTTTATGCGAAAGAAAAGAAAAAAATCAATATAAAATTTATGATGAATTTTATATAGTGGGCGTCTGTCTCGGTATGTAACTTTTGTAAAAAGTTCATTGTATGTAGTTTGAGGAGTATCAGTCAGCTGTGTTAGGAAAACACAATATATCATCATAGTGTTTATTTTTTCATTGCGGATGCTAGTTTAGATAAGTGTGTATTTCAATATTATAAATGAAAATTGTTTGTCTTAAGGTTCGGAAGATTATATTATTCCACATACATATATATTTAATTGATGAAGGTTCTAAATGATTGTAAATTTTAACCTTGAACGAGTTTTTATTGTTGTTTTTCTTTCCTTCCGCTCTGCACTTTTCCCCGTAAAAACATCTTCATGACCCACAGAAGGTTGATTATATTAATAGATAAGAAAAACTTAGATAATCTTTTTAAGCTAAAAAAATGCATAATATTAAAATCATAACTGTAAATGTTTCACTTCATATGTGGCATTTTCTTCTTTGTGGTGATTAAAAATTTAAATTAACATATTGTTGAATGACATGTCATTGGCCATTGTTCTATATGTTTGTTAAATAAAGTAGGTAAGTATAGTAAATAACAAAAAAATATATACCTATACATATTATTATTATGATCTAAAGACTTTAGACCAGTTTAAAACCTCCTATCCTTTTACAAAAACGTTGCATCAATAGACTCATGGTATAATTTTTAATATTTTTCTTTAAGTTATCTGAATCATATTAACTTTTCAAAATATTTTTAAATTTGTCCAATCCATTTTGGTGATATAAAAAATCTTAATTCATTTTCCAAAAAACTTTATACATATATCCGAATCGGAATTGCTAAAAATTCAGGAGTATTATTTTGTTTAGAACTTTTTTTGAATGTAAGTGGTCCAACATTTTGCTCAAAATAATTTTTGCAAAGAAAAATTTTGGAATTTTAAAGACACATAAAATGAGGTTTGAATGTATAACACATTATATACATTTATCAAATGCAACAATGAATGTGGTAAAAAATAATAATTTTGCAAGTTGTATAACAGTTGCATATCAAGTTTTCATAATTAAATAAACGCATTTACATCTTTATCATATTTTTAATATTAACTATATTTACAGGCGGTTTTGCATTCGTATATGTGGCTCAAGATATACAAACGGGCAAAGAATACGCCCTTAAACGTCTTATCGGTGCTGATAAGAAGGCATGTCAGTCTATCATCAATGAAATAAATACACACAAACAGTTAACAGGTCATCCAAATATTGTGGGGTTTGTTTCGGCCACATTTATTGATAAAACCAATGGACCACAGCAGAGAGCAGAATACCTGCTTTTAACTGAATTGTGTAAAGGTATATAGTATATAGATCTCCGCAAAGTTCTTATTTTCTATATAATAATTTTACTATACATATGCATGTTTCTTTAGGCGGGTCCCTTATTGATTGTTTGGGTTCTAACCTGGATCCTCCCTTAATATTGAGAATATTTTATCAGGCCACCAAAGCAGTGGCTCATATGCATGCACAAGTTCCAGCCATAGTGCATAGAGATATAAAAATTGAGAATTATTTGTTGGGAGATGATAAAAAGTTAAAGTTGTGCGACTTTGGTTCTGCAACAACTGAAATTTTTTCACCCACTTTAGATTGGAATGCTCAGCAACGAAATACTTTGGAAGATCAGGTAAAAATTAAATAAAAGTTATGAAATTTATTAGAATATTTAAAAATACATTTTGTTAGTTGAGCAGTGTTACTACACCCATGTATCGTGCTCCTGAAATGCTTGATACTTGGTCTAATTATGAAGTGGGGCTTAAAGTAGATGTCTGGTCTTTGGGTTGTATTTTATATGTTTTATGCTTTCAAAAACATCCTTTTGAGGACTCAGCAAAACTACGCATTGTTAATGGCAATTTCATTATACCCACTGATTCCAGATATAGTTGTTTCCATGATATAATTAAAGGTTTGTCTTTTTATTATCATATATTTTTTAAGCTATTCGAAAATAATTTAATTTTTTCCCCAAAGGTTGCTTGGTGGTAAATCCCGCACAACGCTTTAATGTTTCTACGATATTGGATCGCTTGGCTGCCGTTGCAGAAACTATGAACTGGTCTCTGAAGGGACCTTTAGACTTGGCCGGTAAACCTATAATTACCACCACACCAGAACATTCATATGCCGCAGCTCAACCGCCTGTGACTGCAATGCCCAGCCAACAGCGTTCGACTGCTGGTAATTCTACATTTTACGATGATCCCACACCAACCAACGTCAATCGTTCACAATCACATTCGCCTCACCCTCATGCTTCATCCGCTTCCTCACAGAGTTCCTCAGCTAACGCTTCGGCTGCCAATGGTAGTTTGTTCTCATCATTGCGCGGTGGAGCAGGTAGTTTTTTGAAAAACCTTAAAGATACTTCATCGAAAGTAATGCAAACTATGCAACAGACAATCGCTCGTACCGATTTAGACATCAGTTATATAACATCACGTGTATTAGTAATGCCCTGTCCCTCGGAGGGATTTGAATCGGCCTATAAAACCAACAATATTGAAGATGTACGTTTATCGATAGAGAGCCGTTTTCCACCACAAAAAGTCAGTGTCTACAACTTTGGGCCTCGTTCCTGTCCTCGCTTGTCTCCCCCAGTGCGCACTGTAGAGGCCGGTAGCATATATGGTTGTTCACAGGCCAGGGCACCAAATTTACAGGTATGTTTTATGTCGATTTATAATTCTGAAAAATCTGCAATTGCTTGAATAATGTTCTAGGGTCTTTTCTCGGTGGCTGAGGATATGTATGGTTTCCTAACCGCTGATCCTAAATCTATAGTCATTATACAAACTGGAGATGCTGGTGGTTGCACAGCCGCCACACTAGTGTGCGCACTGTTAATGTATTCCGATCTCATATTGGAGCCAGAAGATGCTGTGCAAGTTTTTGCCGTCAAGAGGCATCCGGTCAATCTAAGACCTTCTGAATTCCGCTATCTGTACTATTTGGGTGATATTTTGCGTCCAACACCCCTACTGCCTCATTATAAAAATATAAATTTGGTATCACTCAGTTGTCAACCAGTTCCTCGCATGACTAAGACCAGAGACGGTTGTCGCATATACATGGAAGTCTACAGCAATGAACGTTTGCTAATGTCAACCATGCAGGACTATGAAAAAATGCGTTTATACATGGCTGGACCAGGAAAAATAACTTTGCCTATTAACTTAACTGTTTGTGGCGACCTTGTGGTGGTGTTATATCATGCTCGTAAGGGAATGGTACGCCCTCAAGGAGTAAAAATTTGTCAATTTCAATTACATACTGGTTTTATACCGGAACCGGAGACTTTGATTACCTTCTGCTCTCAAGATTTGGATGATCTACCAGATCCTGATTGTGTACCACCAAACTTTACGGTTTCTTTGTCTTTGACAGTTACAGACATGGAGACGCCACCTAGCCGTAATCCTCCGTGGTTGCCAACTAAACCCAGACGTAATGCTTTCAACTTATTCAGTTCTCAATTGGAATATGAAGAAATGATTGATAATTTTGTGGCTAAACCCACTTCTAATAAATCTCCAGCTCCTATAAGGCAAGCACCCGCTGTACCACAATCTAAAGCCAAGTCCACAACACCACCATTAATTATGCCCGATATAACTGAAATGACGGCAGAAGCTTTTCATCTACCACCAGAGCCGACACCACCCATTGATTTATTAAACTTAAATCAACCTTCAAGTCAACAGCAACCATCACATGATCCACAGGCTACCGCCATGCCCTCAACAGATGCAAGTTTCGATTTATTGGGCGCCTTTGGTGATGATGATTCTTCCGGTATTGGTTCAGCGCCTATACCTGACATTTTGGCCAATAATGCACAACCAAAATCAACAGCTGATTTAGATGATATATTTGGTCCCTTGAATTCCAATACAACGCCTTCCTTTAATTTAGAATTTAATGCTTTTGCCACGCCGACACCACAAGGCACAAACACGTCATTTGGAAATTCCAAAGTAACACCGGGTGCTTCAACATCGACATCCTTTGGTACTTTACCCACTTTTACAACACAAACAGCTAGTAAGGAACCATCGCCGCAACAGGTGAGTTACTTTACAACAAATGTCTTAGCACAAAGAATACTTTTTTAATTAACTCAATTTGTTTTTAATTTTAGCCCAAAGATCCGTTTGCTGATATTGCCAATTTAGCCTCAGGCTTAAATATAAATTTCACTCCAAATTCAACATTAGGTGGTAAGTCGGCCGGTCACACTCCCGTGGGCAGTAGTCCTTTTAATACGCAATTTTCGAGCCCAACTCACAATCAGACTGCAACCAACAATATGCGTGTTCCTACAGCACCCACTCACACTTCAAATACAACATCTCCAAATCATATGAAATCGCCAAATAATGCTTCTTCCAACTTTGGTATGTCTTTCACTGCAACTCAAAATTCGACTCCATTTTCTGGTAACGCTACAACTGGATCAACTACCACCCAAAATCGTCCCGATTATAGTCGTTCACATTTCGAGCCAACCAAACCGGCATCATTTTCTAATACACAACAGCAGGGGAAAAGTTCGGATATATTTGCTGATATTTTGGGAGAACAGGGCTATAAGTTTACCAGTAAAGGCAATCAGGGACCACGGTCTATAAACGAAATGCGTAAAGAAGATTTAATTAAAGATATGGATCCAAAGAGAGTTAAAATAATGGAATGGGTATGTTTTATTCATATCGATTTAAAAAATTAACAATTAATGCTTTTTAATTACAGACTGAAGGCAAAAAGAATAATATACGTGCTTTGTTATGTTCGATGCATACTGTTTTATGGTCGGATGCCAAATGGAATAAGTGCGAAATGTCGCAGTTAATAACACCAACAGATGTTAAGAAAGCCTATAGAAAAGCTTGTTTAGCTGTTCATCCAGATAAAGTAAGTTTTTAAATTATTTAGTAAAAAAGTAAATTTTGGTAAAAATCAAAATTATTTGTAAAAATTTTGATTTTGACAAAACACGTTTTATTTGTTGGTTATTAATACATAATTAGTTTATTGAAAAAAAAATTATTCGCAATTTATAAAAATTCTGAAATAATTTTCAAATATTTTTCAATATACAAAAAAATAATAATTTTCTTAATTTGGAGATTATTTAACAGCTTATTTTTTCGAATGTTCCTAATTTTTAAAAAATTAAAGAAATTATTTTTAAATAAACATGAGTTTAAGAAAATTTCGAATTATCCTAACAGAAATTGAACTTTTCGAATTTTCAAACACAATATTGCATTTCCATTTGTGTTTAAATTTAAAATTTGTTTTTTTTTAGCACAATGGTACTGATAATGAAGAAATCGCTAAGATGATTTTCATGGAACTTAATAATGCTTGGACTGATTTTGAAAATGATGCCACTCAACAGAATATGTTCAATTAATTATAACAAAAAACTTTAAACTAAATAGTATAATGCTACTAATTCTTTATTTTTTATTTTCTATAATAATATCGAAAGAAAACAACAACAATGTAATATATATAAAAACTCCTCCCTGATGATTATTCAAAATATTCTTTAATAAGTAAAATATAAAATATTTATATTTAAATATATTGCTATTATTAAATGCTTTAAGCTAATAACTTTAAAAAAACTCCCTCGTCTAAGAACTTTATTTACTTAATTTTTTATTATTATGGAAATATTTTAATAGAAAAAAATATACCAATTTATTAACAAAAGAGTTCTCTTTATGTAGATGAAATTATAATAAACTCAATTTCTTACTTTTAAAATTATAATTTAAATAAAATTACTTCTTTATGGAAATAAGTGGAAAATTAAAAAAAGAGTATTAAATAAATAAAAAACTACAAATATAAATGTTAATAAATTTATTTTAACATAAATTATAAGAAACACTTTATAGTTATTAAGTTTTTATTGTAAAAGAAATAATAGTTAAATTTTGTAAAAGTTTAACATATAAATGAAAGAAAACTTTGAAATATTTAAAGAAATTTACTGAGAAATATTTTAAAAACAAAGAAAAAATTTAGAAATATGTATTAAATTTTGTTTACAAAACTACATCCAAAATAAAATTCATTCCAAACAATTAACATTTTCTTCTCCCTTATTATTTGAATTTAAAAAGTAACTTTTTTTAGCCTTTTCCCGTTTTATAATGTAAATAAAATAAATATTAGTACAATCTTACTAGTTTTGGAAAATAACTTGCTTAAACTTAACTGAATAGCACAGCACAATTTTGTATATTTTTAGTATTTACCCATTATCGAACTTTTTTTTGGTTTAAGCACTTTTTCAGCACGGCAAGATAATATAACTTCCCCTTTTTTATTATTATTTGCTTTTAGCTAAGTTTCCGCAAAAGTTAATTTTTTAAGTTTTGTAAAAAGTAATTCAATTTAAAAAATGCATAAAAAAGGAAATCCTTAGATTTTTTGTCAATGTATATATTTATTAAGTAGTAAAAACAACTATACATTATTTAGTATGTAGTTGCTATGGTATAAAAAAATATAAATAAATCTATATAAAAATAAATTTAAAAAATAACACTTTTTCAATGCTTTTTTACTTTATTTGTTTACCAGCTACAAACACTTTAATAATATTACGATCATCACCCACATAAATAAACTTTTGAACCATTTCTAACAATTTTAATTCATCCGATTTTTTAGCATAATCTTCAGCATTATAATGACCAAAGTTATGTAAAGGATATATACTGGTATCAACAACCAAAGCATCAAATTCCTTGCCCTCAACAAAATTACCACATACATCATCGAGAGCAAGGGCTTCAGCGCCACCTAATGTGGCCAAATATATAGCTTGCTTATAATCCAAAGGTTTATATTCTGTGTTATCCTTATTTGCTGGTATCTGCCCAGTTCCTTTAATGTTTTGTTTTTTAACAAATTCCAAATGATGTGAAACATCTAATGCTCTTAAAATGGCATCTTGTATAGAAATTGAATTCCCACCAGATACGTCTAGTAAAAATACAAAATTAAGGTATAAATTTATGAAGATTTAAAATATGTAATTAAAAATATTAATTTCACCTGTTCCCAGGCCAACTTTAATGCCATTTTCAATCAAACGCAAAACATCGCAAAATCCGGAACTTAACATTGTATTTGAAGCAGGACAGTGGGCTACAGAGGTTCCAGTTTTTTTAAATAGGGAAATTTCTTCATCTTCTAGGTGTACTGCATGAGCCATGACGGTCTAATTAAACGATATTAAATTAATTGTGTAATAAATATATGTAATTGAAATTTAGTTAATAAGAAATTTATTTATTTATTATAAACTGTTTATTATACCGATTAAACTTAAGAGCAACTTTTCTATAGAAAATTTGCCCATTTGGTTGCTCTCATTTAAGACCAAAAATTGCCTGATAGTCTCTCTATAAAAAATTGTCTTTCTATAAAAATCTATCTTTTAAGAGCAACTTTTTTTATAAAAACTTTATACGATAAACTTTTCTAGAGAAAAATGGTCTTGTTAAAATTAAAATTGCTCTGGAAATGTTTTAAAAAGTTAAGTGTTTACTTTCACAAATCTAGCTTCATTTTATTAATGGTTTAATTTCCCTCGCACCTTATTTGTTAAAAGTCCAGCTTGATCATACACCTGAGCATAAGAACATGAGAAGAGTTCTTTAACAAAGTCAATTTCTGCCACACTTTCACTGATATGACTCTAAAAAGAAAATTTAATTCAATTAAATGTAAATTAGAATATCTTTCAATTTTAAAACTTTGCCATACTAACTTGGATGTGTACATTATGTAGTTTTGCTAAATCACCCAAACTTTTCATTAACTCTATGGAACAACTTATAGCAAATCTGGGTGTAATAGTAGGTTTTACCAAATTAGTATTCAGTTTTTCAATATCATTAATAAATTCCCTGGTGCCGGCTAAAGATTCCTCGGTTTTTTCACTTTAATCAAAAAGTAAAATAAATTATGTATTAGAAATATAATTTACGAATAAACATTACTTACACATAAAAATCAGGACTATTACAATTGGAACATACTTTCCCCACTAGCGCACGTTGTCCTTGTTTTACTGCCTCTTTAGCCAATATTAAAGTACTGTCCTTGTTGTTGGTACCAAAGTAGGATGCTAATGTAGTGCCACTTTTAATTGTAGATTCCTGTAAAAGATGGGCATTTTTAATATATTAATATTTTTGATAATTCCAAATACACCTATATATAATCGATTTTGAATTTTTGGTTAGTTGGGGCCGTTTGCGTTTCAGGAGACAATATGTATTTGTATTTAAATACATACATATATTTTTATTAATAAAAACTATTAAAAAAATTGAACACCCTCTTTGTTTATGCTAAAGGTTACTTAATATTAACGATAACAAATCAGTTACATATTGCATTGATAAGATTTGCCAGTCGATTTTGCTTTATTAAATTATTGATTTAGTAAAATCTAAATAGTACTTACCACTACTTTTTTGTAAACTTTAGCAGCAAATTCTTGATCAGAAAATTTTGCTTCCAACGGAAATGTATATGTACTTAGCCAGTCCAACAAAGGCATGTCTAAACCTAGACCAATTTGTGCCACTTGGGGAGCATGTATATGACAATCGATTAAACCGGGCATAAGAAATTGTTCCTTATTTAAGGTTACTTCTACAGCTTTAGAAGCAAATTCGGGATTAGTAGAAAGCCATGTCATATAATTTTCACCCACACCAACGATCTTAAAGGAAATAAAACGTTCATTCCTAAATGTTCATTAACCATTTATTATGATCATCATTACCTTTCCATTTTCGTTTACTGCCACAAAACCGTTAGTATAAAAGACAAATTCTTTCAATGATTTGGTGTGTATAATTTGTCCCACAAAAACTGTAGCCATTTTTAATCAATAAATTTATTTATTAGGTAGATAAAGAAAAATATCAACGTGCCGTATTTTAGAGCTAGAAAATAATAATGATCAATTGTTCAATCAAAACAAGTATATTATACACACAAATATAACTACTAAAATGTATCTACAAGCAGAGATCGCATTTACAAAAGAGAGCAAATTTGACTATCCCAGTACACAGTGCTACCGTGTCTTTAACAAGAAAAGAAACATTTTAAATCTATTCCCTGTTTCTGTAATTCTCGCATCGAGAAAATCTGTCGAAAAATTCTTGATCATCTTGTGTAAAACAGGGTGAATACAAGAAATTTAAAAATTTCTTATTAAATGTTAATGAGTACAGTTTAAAAATAATCAGAGTCACACTGTTAAAAACTGGAAGACTATTATATTTTAAGTTTTTTCTCGATTCGAGAAAATTACAGAAACGAGGTACTGTTTACAAAAGATGTTGCAAAATCTATTGTAAACTCTTTCCATACTGCAAACGGCCAATTTTTTTGGCCGTTTTTACAGTATGGAAAGTTTGTTTATCGGGGTAAATTTATAATAGGTGAATTTATATTTGTAGAGCTATTGTTTATTGCACGTCGTAAATTATACCAATACGGTCTTTGTAAACTTTATATTATAAATCCACGCTATCAAAACACAATATCTAATAGAACAAATTTGCCAGTGAATTCACCTTTTGATAACTTCGCCTTGCTTTGTTTTCAGCTAATGTAGCTGTTTTATTTCCCAAGTTAAAAATGGATACAATTTTTATATAAAATCTACACAAAAAGATAAAATAAATTATCTGTAAATACAAACAATATCAAGCTTAAAGTAAAACATTTGTAATATAGAAATAAGTACATAATAATAATATCGTAGTAATATACTATATAAATAAAATAGTTAAAATCACTTGACATCTTTACAGCATTGACAACATTGTCAAGGAATGCAAAATAAAAAAAATTTTGTTAAAACACCGCAAATTTTTATTAAAAAATGCTAAAAAAAACTTATTTGTATCAAGGTATATTAATTAATATATCTTGATATACTTTGTGATCTTGATTCATATAAGAAAGCCCAAAGGGGGATATAAAATAAAAAATACTACAATATTAGTTTACACAATAAAAACAAACTGTGTCGAATGGCAAAATACGCCGAATGTAATTTAAAAAATGCAAAGTAACAAAAATATTAAGAAAAGAAACTCTATAATATCCAAACAGCAACACATAACAGAGGAGCTTAGTGAAAATGGTGTAATACAATACAATTGTACCGCCTGTCGGAAAACTTTTCGCAGTCGTTCCCAGAAATATTACCACTTGAATTGTAATCAGTTGCAGAAATTTTTATACCAGTGTGAGCATTGTGATAAGGTATTATTTTATTAATTGTTCTATTAAATCTACAAATTTGTTAAATATGTATGTTGTATGTATACTTTTTGTTAGAGTTTTGTACGGAAGTCTCAGTGGAAATATCACAATGAATCTCATTTATCTCCTATCAACGAATGCAAAAGGTGTCAGAAAATATTCTCTAATCCCTTAGCTTTAAAGAAGCATTTGTCTTTGCATAAAGTAGAGCCAAAATTCTGTCCACATTGTGATAAGAGTTTTAAAAAGAAAGTCTCACTGGAGCAACATATTGCTGCACAACATCTAAATCAATTACAATATGGTTGTGCTTATTGTAATAAGAAATATGCTTCGAAGTCTACGCTACAATTGCATTTGCAATCACATGAGAGTAAGTGTATTAATTTAAAACTTATTGGCCTTATTCATAAAGAAAAACGAGCTGCTAACTACATACATATGTTAGTAATTTCCCTTAAGGGAAATATAGCAGCTTCTTAGTTAGTGTTAGGCCTTATGTATTTCGGAATTTTTTATTACTAAGGCGAAATTTTTTTCTAATGCTGATACTTGTATAAATATTATTCAAAAAGGATCATACAAAATGTCAGATAATATCCATAGTTGAGTTGGCAGAATGTTTAATATAATTAATATATCTTATCAGAATCATTATAAATAATATTGACCACCATTCTGACACGTAATGAACATTTACTCTTTAAAATGTTTTAATTTAATCATCTCATTTATATTATTTTCATATTAATATTAATTTTTGGCAACGATTACTAGAAAATTCATAATTTTTTTAGGAAAGCGCTTTGAATGTACATTATGCGAAAAACAATTTCAACGTAATTCAATATTAAAACTACATTTAAAACGCCACAACAATTCAAATGTAATTTGTAATATCTGCAAGAAAGTATTCAGTGAATCCGGGGCATTGGCTAGGCATAGTAAAATACATGAAGGTAATTTTTAAACCTATTTTATTTATTGGAAAAAGTTCCATTTAATACTTTACTTTTTTAGAAAATGTAGTACAATATCATTGTAAATTGTGCGATAAAAATATACTTAGAAAGGACAATATGACTAGACATTTAAATACAATACATCCAGATGAAAAGTTTGATAATATTGTTGAAATAATACGACCAATGATGTCGGATACAAATTTAAATCCTAAGCACACAATTGCAGAAAGTGAATCAATTGATATTGATACTTTCAAAGGAAAAAATAAAAATATACCGGGGAAAAATTTTGTTATTATTGAAAATAAATTACTGCAGAAACCTTATGAGCACAAAGACAGTATAATTGAACTTTCCAAAAACATAACAAACGAAATAAGCACATATGATCGTACGAAATATCCTTTGATAAACCAAATCAAAGTCATTACTGCAATTCATACATACGAAAAAGAAATATTTAATGAGAGTAACGAAAATAAAACAATAAATCATCAGCAACAAGTAGATTCTAAAATATTTGAACCAGCTGCTTCCCCCGATGAAACCAACTGTGATTTAAAGGCAATACCAAGTAAATTTGTAGAACAAAATGAAAATAATATAGCGGATAATTCATTAGGCAAACAAAAATCTCAAAATCAAACTGAAAATGAAACTAAAATGCAAGACACGTTTTTTGATAAAGATTTTTTTCAGCATCGTAAACAAGAAAAAGAACAACCATTACAGATTTATGAACCACCAAAAACACAAACTATTTCTTCTGTCATTAGATCAGTTGGAAATGCTAAAAATTTAACATACTATTTGGAGGCACCTGTTACGCCAATTAAGCAAACCTGTTTGGAATATAAACATAAAAAATATTGTCGTAATAATTACAATATTGACTTATATCGTAAAATATTGGGCTGTGATGAAGACGATGATGAAAAGGAACAACCCAATTGCATATTTACGCCACAAACATCATCAACAGCAGCTGCAGTACACTGGCGTAAAAGTTTTAAAAATAATTATGAAACATGGTCATCATAATCATGTATATATAAACATACATATTTATATTATTGGTTTAGCGTGCATTCAATGTGCTTGTAATTTCCGAGCCTATAAAGTAGATAGGTATACATATTCCGAATCCGAATAGATAGCGAGATAGCGTCTGTCTGTATGAATATTGAAATAAATTTTCTAAATACCCCAGATATCTTCGGGATCCAAATCTTCAATTATTCTATGAGATTTGCTTTTGAGAATCAAAATCGTTTCATTCCGAAAAATATAGAATTTTAAATACACAATATGTACATATGTACATATATATTTCGAATATGGTGAAAATAAAGGTATTTTTTATTTTAACCTTATCTTAACCATTTATGCACATAATTTGGAATTATTCTGTAAAAGTTAAAAAAATAAAAAGAAATAAAGAAAATGAAATTCTAGGGCTTTAAACAAATATAGATGGTTGGTTTGTTTGTACACTAAACCGACATAATATACTATATTTAATATATCTCATATATATATATTTTAAATGCTTATTTAATTCTGTACTTATACATTTTAAGCTATTTTTTAGTTTTTAATATTGAAAATGAGTAAGAGTAATATGAAATAATTTAAAGAAAATGCATATATTTTCACAATCTCAAAGATAATAATAAACAAAAACGTTTTTAATATATTTTAAAGTAATTGAAGAGCTAAAAGAACTGATTTTATTAATATGTGATTGAAAATCCAAAATTATAAGTTAATTTATTATATTTAAAGAATCTTAATAATTATTTTATATAAACATAATAAAATTAGTTTTAATTTTAATTTTATTTTAAAAAAGAAAACATTTTAAACATGTGCAAATTTTTGTCAAACTGCTCTATAATTAAATAGTATGTATATCGGTACCAAAAATGCAAAAAGCTTTAATGAATCTAAAAAATAAGAAAAGAATCATTGCATCAAACATATGTACATGCATATATGCTACCTTTGCAAATGCAAAGAGAGTTGTAAATTTTTTTAAGTGAATTTACATTGATTTTCAGCTGACGATATGTCTATAATTTGCATACCTTTCAAATCATTAAAATAATTTTGGCTATTTGCCACTATCCTATTTCATAAGTAAATTTGCCTGCGTTTAAAGACATTGGCCGTGATCAAGAGCAACGAAAAAAATAAGTATGTGCAACGAACCTGACGTCATGGGAATACCATATACCAATACTTATGCTTTTGTATACAGAATGTAATTAGTTTTTATTCTCAATAATGTTAACGCCACCAAACGAGGAAGATGCTTTGGCAGAAGTATATTATTTAACGCAGGAAACTACAAAAAACTGGCGTAAATTATTAAAATACGGAGAAACATTGGAAGTGGAAACAAAAAGGAAATTATTATGGTTATGGCCAACGGAAAAGAATTTATGGCAAATCAATAAACTATTAAGAGAATACAATATAACGAATATTTTAAGTATAGGCTGCGGTAATGGTTTATTTGAATGGTTGCTAAAAGAGGTTCTTAGTAAGTGTTTAATGTTATATGCTGCTATAAAGCTTTATTATTTTTCTTTTTTTTTCAAGACTTACAAGTTTATGGCTTGGAAGTGGATCGCCAGTGGTGGCTTAGTAATTATGCTATTAAATCATTTATACCTCTGAATTATATGGAAGATATGAAAAAGGATTGTACACCTGCTAGTTTTTTACAAAAGTGTTGTGTTTTAAATAGTTGGAATTTTGCTTTAATGTTTTGTTATTTTAATAATCGTTCAGCATTTTTAGAATATTTAACATTTTATGAAGGCAATTATATAATAATAGTGGGGCCTTTAGAGAAAACAGAAATTTATACTGATCCTTTACCATTAGAACCAAATCTTCCTGAAGATTTAGCAGCAAAATGGACTTTAAAACAAACTGTACCTATAGAAAATAATAATATTTTAGTTTTATATGAAAAGAACATAAAAAGTGATGATAACTAACCGAAACTTTGTTTTGTTGCTTTCATTGTGTGTTAAGTTCAAAGTTAGCAATGAAATTATCTTTGAAATCTAGCAGAAAACACAAGTTATAAGAAATAAAAAACAAACATCTATACAATTTTGAAATAGTGTGTTATATTTAAAATAGCAATTTCGGAATAAGGTCGTATATAGTATCCTTTAATGAAAATATCCCTGAATGGCTTTTGTATTTCAATATGGGTCAATAATAAAAATTTAGAAGTTTTGTTAACTGCAAGAATCAATATCTTGAGAATTAATTCAATGGAATGCAAAGGCGCAGAACTAAGATAAAAATTTTCGAGGTATGATTTGAATGGAAATAATCAGCCAAAAAATTCTGGTCGCAATTCATACTTCTTTTTTCAATAAATTAAACTCTTTTCTAACTATTTTTTTATGTTTATTAAGCTCTACTAACTTCTATATGAAATTTACAAGCTGGAATTGATTGCACTTCGGCTGTAACAGTGCTATTAATACCAAGATTACTTAAAGCTCCTCTAACCAAACCACAAGTAAAGGCCACAAACTAAAAGAAGTACAAAACAAACATTTTTATGTTAATAAAAAATTTTATGGATTATAATTTACATACCTTGGGAGCATGTTCCAATTGTTTGGTACCCGGTGATATACGGGTCAAAAAACGAAATGCTTTATCTTGCACTACATACATTCCCTGATTATTTGTCCTTAAATTATCCACTTGTTTTTTGTAAATTATAGTCCAAAAATCAGTGCAAATAAATTTTATAGTTTCCAATTCATCTTTAAATCGTGGCACATCACGAGTTAAGCGCTCTATTAAACGGAAACCTGCTGTAAATCCTATGTATTCCAATGTAGAAAAATCGTTTTCCTAAAAACAAAAATGGGGGCAGTGATAAAAAGCTTTGCGGTTAAAAATGTTTGTAATTTTTACCTTATTGTCTTCTAAACAATAGTTTACAATTTCAGCATGTAAAAAATCAAATACTATATCTTCAGACATTTTTATTTGTAGATAAAACAATAATTTTCAATTTTTACCGAGAAATTATTTTGGTTTCCTGCAAGTAAACAAACAAATTTGCTTTGATCAGCTGTGATGAGTTATATATAACTTGGCAGCACTTTTAGGGTTTCTTGATATAAATTAAATCTCCTGTTTTTTTTTTCTTTTTTTCATTTTAATATTTTTTTAAATAATATTGGATTCCATTAAGATTTCAATAAAATTTCATATTTTAATTTGCGATTATACTTTCATTTCAAGTAATGCAAATTTTTCTTTCGACACAACAAATTCCATTTTTAAGCTCGATCTTAATTTTCCGGAAATACATAATATATGTATGTATATATAATCAGGCAACACTTTTTCAATGTTTACATTTTTACCATACACTCGAAGTGTATAGCACTATAATTGCGAAGATATAATGAGTGTGTCATCATTTTTGTAACACATCAATCGGTTTGGAATAATTTCTGACAATTAAATAACATCCATCCTTCTGTCTATGTACAAATTGTATTATATATGATTTTTATTAATTTGTAGCCTTTAATAGGTGATTTATTTCAAATGCATTTACTTATGTATGTATGTATGTATGTATGTACATATGTTTAACTAAAATTACTTTGTAACCATATAGGGTATTAGAGTACAGACTTGACGGAGTTTACATTAGTTTGTTTTGCAAATTATTTGTATACAATTGCAAAAAAATAAGCCGGCAAATACTTTTTGTTCCAGTTTCCTTTTAATAAAAAAACATCTAAATATAAATATATTTTATAAAAATTCTACACATAAACTTTTATAACGAAAATATTGTTAACAAAAAATATTAATTTCTGAATTTGCGAATTGGCTGTGATATTTACTTTAAATAAAATTTTAAGTGCAGTATATAAAAAACATAAATATGAAGAAATTTCTTGGGAATATTAATATTAACTACAATAAATTATTAAACTCCACAATTGCTTCAATTTTACTTTTATGTACCTTGTGTTATTTGAGCTATGGTCATGCCTTACGTGGCACCTTCGTGTTTGACGACACAGTTGCCATTAAACGAAATAAAGCCATCAATCAATTGCCCACTAATTTTACAGCGATTTTTACTAGTGACTTTTGGGGTTCAAGTATTACCGATGATGAATCACATAAATCTTACCGACCTCTAACTTCGTTGATGTTTCACATGGAGTGGGTAAAATGGAAACTTGATCCATTTTATATGAAACTTATAAATCTACTAATACACACCATCAATACAATTTTAGTTTTATTAGTGATGAGAAAAATACGATTTTCTACATTTTCTTATACCGCGGCTTTATTGACAGCCATTTTATTTGCCGTGCATCCGGTCCATACTGAAGCAGTGTCGGGTATAGTATCTAGGGCTGATTTGATGTTTTGTTTAATATATCTAACTACATTACTAATTTGTGTGACAATGCATAATAGGAAAGCCTCTTGGTTACCAGGACTCGTAGTAGTTCTTACATTTCTAGGAGTTTTATTTAAAGAATCTGCCATAACAATACCATTGTCCTGTGTACTTTTGGATTATACTTTACAACGCATCTATACTTTAAACTGGAAACAGCAATTAAGAAAAATATTAACAACAACCAACATGTTCTATGCCTTAACAACAATTTGTATAATCGCGTTACGACTCTGGATAGCAGATTTTAAAAGTCCTACATTTCGTAAAGCTGATAATCCCGTGGCTCATGCCGATCATTTTTTAACACGTTTACTATCACAAAATTATCTTTATGTGTACAATCTACAAATTCTTTTAAACCCATACCATTTGTGTTTCGATTGGGCCTTTGATTGTTTAAAACTTGTTGAGAATCTAACAGATTTTCGTGTAATACCTATACTTTTTCTATATGTGTGTTTTTCCGCATGTCTCTATAAATATCAGTATAATTTTGTGCCTGCTTTTGGTTTACTACTCATCATCATTCCATTTTTGCCCGCCACGGGCATCATTAAGGTGGGCTTTGTTATTGCTGAACGCGTTTTATATGTCCCCTCTATTGGTTACTGTTACTTGGTATCGTGTGGTTTTATGTGTCTGCAGGAAAAATTTAAATTTCGCAAAACATTGTCGTTTGGTTTCATTGTTCTAGTGTTAATATTTATTTTACGCAGTCGTCAACGTTCTACAGAATGGTTAACGGAAGAAAAATTATTCACCTCAGCATTGGATGTGTGTCCTAATAATGCCAAGGTATTTTAATTTGTTTGTTTATCTGCATTAAATAATATAGAGAAATATTATAGGTTCATTACAACATTGCTCGCCTATCAGCCGATATGAAGAATAATGCCCAAGCTTTTGCACATTACCACAAAGCTATTGAACTATATCCCGATTACGATTCTGCTCTTATGAATTTAGGTAATTAATTAAAATATTTATATTATTTAGGTTCAGACTTAGTAATTAATCTTAATTTTAAATTCGGCTTAAAATCTTTGAATTTAGCACTTTTTAAATAATACCCTGTAAAATAATTCGGAAGCTTAATTCATTCATTCCTTATAGGGAAGATTTAATTTGAATGATTATTCTCTTTTGTAATTTCTTCTATTGCTTCCTAAGTTTTTTTTTTTTAATTTAAACCCAAATAATAAAAGGAATAACAAATAAAATACCTAAAATTTTCCTAAATTTAGGTAATCTCTATCGTGAGACTGGTGATTTAAAAAAAGCTGAAATATATCTACAAAAATCTCTGGAAGTTACACCAGATTTGCCTGCAGCTTGGATGAACTTGGGAATAGTACAAGCGGCAAGTAAACAATTTAAAGAATCACTTAACAGCTATAAGAAGGCCTTAAAATATCGCAAAAATTATCCAAACTGCTACTATAATATGGGTAATTTATATTTAGAACAAAACTTATACACCGAAGCCTTAAATCATTGGCAAAGAGCTATTTCCTTAAATCCAAGTTTTCAAAAAGCCTGGACTAATATGTTAACAATGTTGGATGCAAAAAGTATGTTTGAAGATGCTTTACGTCTGTCCGAACAGGCTCTTATACATCTGCCCGATGAAAGTTCAATTTTATTTTTGCGCGCTAACGTTTTTGGTAAACTGGGACGTTATATAGAGGCTGAGCAATTATATAAACGTATTATAGCCAAGGAACCATTAAATTATATGTATCATACTAATTTAGCTGTACTCTATCATCGTTGGAATAGATTAAATGAAGCTATTGCTGCGTATAGAAAGGCGTTAGATGCAAATCCACAAAAGGCGTTAACAGCTAGAGATAATTTAGGTAAACTAATAAAGAGATTAGCAAATGAGAAAATAGATAATAAACAGACTGCTAGTATAAGTTAAGTAAATATAAATAATGTATGTTTTCATATAATAAACTCACCCATCTAAGTAAATGCCTACTATTCATAATTTAAGGGAACTTTTTTATCAAGATGTCATTATTATTTGTTTGCGTTTATATTCCATATTGATATTGACCATTATTTGTCTTATATGAAACATATGTCGCATAACTTAATGTTCTAACAAGTTTATAAACGATCATTTAATGTCTAAATATTTACCATTTATTGATTATATTTACTCATTCATATATTTGTATATTTTATTATTTTTATGGAAAAAATATGATCTGATTGTAGTCACGTCTTAACAGAAAAACACCGTAAAAATATTTTGCATTTAGCACCTCGTCATCCACGTAGTTTAGTTAAATTTATTGTATAAATATTTTAAATTCGTATATATATATATATATATATATATATATATATATATATATATATATATATATATATATATATATATATATATATATATATATATACATATATACTAGATATTTATTTCCATATTCGATTAGCGCAGGAAGTTTGAAATATATTTTAAAAAATTTCTAATTTATTTCATGAATTTAAATTTTGCATGTATTTTTAATTGATTAAAGTAATATATTGTAACATAATTATTATAAATCAATTTTTATTCTCATAACCGTTTTATTTTAATTATTTTATTATATATTATTATCAGCGCTAATATTTTGCAACACATAAATATATTGGTCTTACACCTTATGGTATATTCCTATATATTTGTTAACAATTGAAAGACAATTATTCACAGAAAGAAAAACTGATTTCAAAAAATGTTCAAATCAATTATAAGTAGTTATTGAATATATAATTTTTAAAGTATTTTGAGAAACTGTGTTTTTCATAAAATTTAATTAGCTTTTTCCAATAAAATCAAACAAAATCTATTATCTTCACAATTATTTAATATTTATTTCAAATATAATTAAATGGAAATGGTTTAATGTTAAATAAATGATTGATTCTTAAATACAATACAAATAAAATATCTGTACCCACATAAAAAACAAAGAAAATAAAAATAGTGAATGTGGCACAAATGTAACGGCAAAATAAAGGCTTAAAATATAATTATGAAAATTAAAAACAAAATAGACAAGGCATTCATCAATAATTTTATAAATAAAAAGAATTTGTTTGTCAATTATAAATTAGATAATAAGGTACGAGTAATTTAAAAATGATAACTTATATAAATATTTTGAATGTGTTTTGTTTGTTTCTTTTTCCATTATATTTTTGTATGTTGGTTAGTTTTTCTTTTTATTGATTTTAATATTTGCACCTTAACAAATAAATAAAAGACTAATTTAAATAGATAGTTACCAAATGAATGACATTGACAAACAATATAAATAAATCATTCTTTTCTATACACTATGCTACTATAGTAGAGTAAACTTAAAACTACAAATAAATTAAAATAAACACTTTTCATAGATATATAATTTGTAGTATAGTATGTATGTATGTACGTATTTCCGATAAGAATAAAGTTAAATGTGAAAAATAAAATGTATAAAAGACGTTAGTTAGATAAACACAATGCGTCAAAAATATATGAATAAAAATAATAATACAAATAAACATTTGACATTGCATTGTTTAAAAAAGGATTCACTGAAGCAAAGTTCTGCATTAGATATAAAAAAAAAAATTAATAAATAAGTCTTAAAATTTTGAGATACGCATGTAACACAAAAAAAGTTTTGTTTTCTTTTTTTGTAATGTATATAGTATATATAATATAATGGCATGAGATATTTTTGAACTATTCCAAAAGTTGACTTTACTTTTTTGATTACCAAAGAACACGGGAAACGTTATTCCATAATAGGGTCTAGAAAATTTTCCTTAATATATATTTGGAGAGCATAGCCTGACGTCTTTGTGATTTCAAGTGAAGCTCTTTTACGTAGAATAGTGCTGATAGAGATATATTATATATGTAGTATTTTTTGTTTTGTGATAAGCAGGCACAAAGTAAAAGCTTGCTAACAAATATAAGAAAATTATAATAATAATTCTTTAAAGTAAAACAAATTCCTCTGTTTCACTATCATCATCATTGCTTGCTGGTGTCAAAGAATCATTGTTGATTTGTTGTAGTTGTTTTTGTAAAGGTTTATATAGAGAATCGCTCATTTCATTTTGACTTTCATGTTGCAAACAACGTCCTCTAGAGAAAGAAAATAAGGGATAATTCATTTCGGCAAATTGTGATGAAGTTTCCGTAAAACTATTGGTCAAACTTGAAGGCATTTGTTGTTGATGTTGGGTGATGACAGAAGGCTGTTTCTCTAGACTGCCAGATGCGCAACGCATGGGATGAAGATACTTAAATAAAATAACATTTTAAAAATTGATAACTTAAGCAATTTATATACACTTACCATTTGCACGGATTCGACAAAATTATCAAAATCTGTTTTAGTCTGACAGTAGAAACCAATACAGCAACTTGGATCCATTTTATTCGTTTTAAGTTTTCTGGGTGACTTGCAGTGGAATGAGTGTAAGGGGAAATTCTCTTGATTAACGTCCACCATTTCCTGACAATAATGAGGATCCAAATGTATTAATTTATCCTCTGCAACAAAAAACAATAATAATATCGAATTAATTTTCAACTGACCTATAATCACCTTTACATTCAAATTAAGTATTCATATTTTACCTACCCTGAAATCCTACAAAATATAAAGAGTGTTTTGGTCGACCACCTATTATGCCAATACAATATTCAGTGCTGAGCAACAATTTCAAACAATGAGCATATACTGGATTTAATTTCTCGGTACCCAAGCGTAATGGTATCAATACAATCAATGATTTCCAATTTTGTTTAGCTTCTAATGATTTAGGAGTTTCAGGTTTACGCCAAGGTACATGAGGTTTGGGTGTAGGCTCGGGTATGCAACATTCCGATTCAATGTCTCCAATATAAACTGAAGATAACAAACTGTAAGAAATATTTCATTGAAAATATATAAAGAAATTATAAACTTACTTGTACAATCCTTGGCCACATAAATAACCAGATTATCAAAATCAGCATTTTCTTGAGCAGCATTTTTTAAGGATTGTCTGTATTTATTTTTTAAAAGAGAAAGTTATAGTCTAATTTAAGTATGGCCTTTAGTTTAATCAAAATATACCTTAATAAATATGACACCGAAGCTGGTCCATACCAATCACCCGGTTTTTTACCCATTTTTTCCCCCAAACCAACTAATGTGTGTATAGAGAAGGGTGAACTTTTGGAGGAACTATCTCCAAACCATTTAATAATCTTTTTATGCATATTATCCTCATAGGTCGAATGCAATTGTGATTCTGAATCATAGCGCCAACCTTTTAAGAAATATAACAATTATTATTTATAATATAATGTAAAGTAATTTGCGGCGGAAATATGAACTTAAAAATTAGTGCAACAATATACTTAATAATCTGTGTTATGCGGAATTTTCCTATCATATCAACATTTATATGTCTACCATTATAATAAAAGGGATTTTTTGATCTTGAATTAAATTTCAAAATATTGATATTTTGGATATTTTGAACGATATTCTTGTTAGTTACTCAGAGTTAATTGGATATAAAATTTATCAAAAATTTACTTACTGCGTCCTAAAAAGTGGCAAATTAATGCTTGAGCCAATAACATCTGACCACTGCGCAACATACAGCCCCAGCCACAGTCTGAAGTGTAATTTGAACCATTCATTAGCGGAAACTCTCGACGATATGTCATCCAAATACGACTGTAGAAATCACGCTTAAATCCCTCAATACCCTCCTCCCAAGGGTTATCCCCAACCTGATTCTCTGTAGCATCCATAGCTAATTCCTGTGGCACAACTATCTCCTCTACCTGTTGAGGATTTAAGACAGGATACAATGGTACCGTATTACTATTCGGAGTCATTATGTTTTCTGAGTTGACTTGCTGTATTGTATCATAGGCACTCGATATGATACTATTGTCTTGTCCCGGATTATTACTCAATTCGGCTGAAGTTTCCATGGAAGAAGATGGTGTAGCCTTACGGTGATAGCATCTGCCCAACAACCAGACAGGTTGTTCTTTGGAGAAGTTTGATTTCAATTTTCCACTCCAGCCATACTTAACGTTGTGCCACATGGTAAGCAATTTCGACTCCATACCTTTGGTGGGTGTTCTACCAGCAGCTGGTGTTGAGGTCGAAGTAGAAGAAGCAGTGTTGCCATCGTTATCATCACTCTCTGTGGCATTATTGACACAGGAGCCACTGGACGTGGTATAAAGCTGTTGGAAAGCATTGATAAAGCGCGAAGAAGTCGATATTTTCCTCTGGGGTGTTGAGACTTCTGATTTACTGGCATTTGCTCCCGCTGGAGGCCTTCTAACACATTGTATAGTAGCGGCCTGTTCCTCTTCGATGGCACCCTCCTCTACTGGTATGATATTAGCTGCAGTTGTTGTGCCCACAGTTGGGCCGCCTTGAAACAAGTTCAATTTCTCTTCCGTTAACTGCGACAATAAACCATCATAGTTCATCTGTGAATGCGAATTACAATAAGGAAATTTTTTTAAACACGGATACATTGTTATTGAACTCATTACAACAAATACGCGAGTGTATTGTCGCCTGCCAACTGCTACTTCCACTATCGATCGATCGGTAATAAAAAATTTAAATTATTTTCAGTGCGAATGACTAAATTGTTTATCACTTAATCACGGTCGCTGTATGACTGTTTTTGGGAAACCTCAAGTAAAATATCTATTTGATAGCAAGCGGGCATTTCGTTCGTTCCCTCAGTTTTAGATTTATAACACTTTGGTACTTACCATTTATGTTGATAAGATTTTTCTTTCTTTTCTTCTATTTAATATGTGAATAATTTTCAATTTTTCTTATCTTGCTATTATTTATAATGATTACATTTAGTGTGTTTTGTTTATATAGATATTAATAATTGGTTTTGTTTTTATTCCCAATTTCGCGTTCAATAGTTATTTATTTTGTATATATTTATTAGATTTTTCTTAATTATTCAACAAAAGAATAATAATGAATGCAAAAAATATTATTTATTGCACATATAGTAGTTCTAAACGTAAATTTTTTTCTTTATTCTTTTTGTTCTTGACGTTTGTTTGATTACTCAATTTTGCATAAAGTTTTTTTTTTGAGAAAATGAATCAAAATAAAAACAAAAATAGTTGTAAACAAAATGAAAAACAATTATTCGGTTAATCGAATAATTGAGGTTCATGTCCGTAATGAAATAAAAATTTTATATTCATACCGAAAATGCAAAAATGATTAGAATAACATATTTTTTCAAAGTAACATAAAAATACCTTGTGATTGTTTTCTAAAAAAAATAATAATCTTAATTAAAAATTATTAAATTTTAATTAAATTCATCAACTACCATTTTTTGCAACTATTCCCATCTGCTGCAACGTCAAACAATTTTTGTTGAAGCGTCGGCAGCGTCGAAATTCTGCTGCTAGATTTTTTCGCGCAATTTTTAAAAATATTACTTCGAACTTTGAACAAAGTTTTACGCCGACCAAATTTCAGGTTTATACACACCACATATTTAACAAATTTTAAGATGGCCCAAAGGGCTTGGTTTTGAGTTTGTAAAAAATTAATAAAATTAAAAATTAGTGAAAGTGTTCAGCAAATTATACAAAATATGGCGAAAGACTTCAAGCCGTCTAAAGCTAGAAATTTTCCGCGGCGGCGACTTTGACATTTTTCGGCGGTTAGATTTAGTCGGCTCTAAGCCGAACCGGCGCAGGTCTCTGACAACGTTGCAAAAAAATGAGCGGCGCTCGAAGAATAAATTGCATTTTTTTATCGCAGAAATTTGGAAATTTTGTTAAAAAGTTTACAATAATTGTGCCTAAAACCTAAAATTAATAACTTTTAAAAACTTATAAACAATTAAAACTAACAACTGAGTAAAATGTAATTAAATAATTGCAAACAAATTAAGATAAAAGTTAAAATTATTAAAAAGAAAAATTTTCAAGAAAAAATTTGCTGGAAAAGTACACACGTCGTTTTCGCTTTCTTCAATGGTGGCTTTGAAAAAAACTTGAAGAAATAAATAGGTAAAGTTGCATTTTTCTACAAGAACATGAGTTAATAAAATGGAAATATAATAAATAAAGTAGTGATCTAATTAAAAATACAAGAACTTGCAAGTAAATTTTAAATTAAATAATTGTTTATTGAAAGAAAAATTTGTTTTATTTTGTAAAAAGAAAATCTTTTTTTGTTAAAAAATTGTGTTAAAAGGGAATTTGTAAAACGAGAGGGTGCTCTGACCTCACGAATCAAAATCAAAAAGAGAAAACGTGTAATTAAAAAAGCAAAGCAAAAAAAAAAAAACAAGAAATTAAAAAAACCGTTGTTTGTTTTTACGAGAGGAAGGCGGAAAGTAAACAATGTTTATGTTTTGATTAGCAGTAGTGGTCCACTAAAAAATCAACCTACGTGTAAACATTACAAAAAACTAAAATAGAGCAAATAATATGACTGAGGCAAAACGTGTAACTCTAACTACTATAAGTAGTACTGTTAGCTCCTCCTTAATGACGGCTGGTTCGTCTAACGCTTTACGTTTCGGTGCAGATTTTTTGGCTCAAGCAGAAAAGTCTGCGACAACAGGAAATGCTTCTGCATCTACTGCAACGAAAGGTTCAACAAAAACGATACGTTTAAATGTGGAGCTCTTTCAAACAGACTCAAACAAATATCCAGAGTTTAATTATGCAAAATTATTACATTTGGAAAAGGTAAGTGGTGAATTATCTTTTTTAGTTATCTTCATATTTTCCGATTTCATTATTTACATGAATAGTTTGTTGAAAAGTTTATTGCAACTTTGATGAGCACGTGCTTCTTTTAACAAAATCAGATTTCATTTACACTTATGGCGGATCTTCAAATCAAAAACACTGTAGATGGTTTTAGGTATAAAATTATAACATTATAATTGGAATATTTGGTATTCATATAGATAAACTTTATTTCCTATATTTTTCTTAATTCTAAGGATTCGTTCCATAAATGATCAAAGTCGCGGTAAAAAGTCACCTTTCGCAATTGAACTAATAAAGTATGCTTTGAGGTACATCAGAGCGAATACACCTTTGTTTTTTAATTGAAGATTCAGACATTTTTAAGCATGATATCGTATTGTAATTCTAAATTCTGAAGTTCTTTAATTGACCACAATCAATTTCTGAAATGACTTTCCATTTACAAGTATAGGAACGGTGTGACCGCGCAAGCCTGCCATTCTTACTTGTTTTATATATTTTTTTAATCTGTCTATTCACAAAAATTCGTGATTTCTTTAGTTTTAATAAAAAGCTTATTTTTATAATAACTATGAACACTATTTAACTAATGCAAGATAAAATAATTAAATCCGTAGAAAAAACTTAAAAAGTTAAAGCAGAAATCAAATGGATTCTCCGATCCTTTTGAAGATAACGATGATGATGTAGCACGTATTGCTAAAGAACTTGAAAAGAAATACGGCAATGCGTATAGCAGTGGACGTGGTAAAAATAAGAGAGATGATGTCGACATTGGAATGGGTTATGATGAATCGGATTCATTCATTGACAACACAGAAGCGGTAATAACAAATTTTCGAAAAACTATGTAACAATTAAAAAAAAACAATATAAAAATCTTTATTTTAGTATGATGAATTAATACCCGATGAAGTTGAAACTATTGAGGGGGGTTTTTATATCAACTGCGGAGCTTTGGAATTTAAAAAGTTACACACCGAGTCGTACACTACTAAAACTGATGAAATTATCAAAATGCCCAATCGTCCAAAAAAACGTGTGATTTCTTCATCTTCGGAAGATTCCTCATCTTCGGGAGATGATGAGGAAGATGATGACGATGATTCGGAAGAGGACGATGATGATGATGAAACATCGGTGGAAACTAGTAAATCGAAATCATCTGTTAGCACGAATGATAAAAAATCAAAATCTTCATCATCATCTGTAACGAAATGTAATCCTGCCAAAAAGAAAGCTACTGCCCCTGAGCCTGGAGGAGCGGCTAAGAAAAACAAGGAAAAGAATCTGATCAGTGGTCTATCATGTTCGGCCTCAAGTTCTCCTAAAATATCAGCCGAAGAGAGGGCCTCTGATGTTGAACGGAATAGCAAGAAAGTGGAAAAAACAACCACCGTAAAAGATATGCTTAAGGCTCAAAGGGATAATTTCTTAAAATCACAATCAAATGGCGAAGGCAAGGGTAAGTCATCGGCCGAGGACGAGGATGACGATGATTCTTCTAGTGATGATTCCGAAGATAACGATGACGAAGAAGATGAATCAGATGATAACAGCGATTCAAATCAAAGCGAAACTCAAACATCAAAGGATAAAAAGCAGACATCTGGAGCAGAAGATCAAGGCAATGAAAGTAGGTTCTATTTTAATTTAAAAAAAAATTAGAGTATGCTTACATAACATTACGTAAATTACAGAATTACGAACAAGTGATACTAACCTACCCGAAATGGAGGCGGATGTATTAACTAGTATAACTGAATTTAGAGATGGCGCCAAATCTCAAAACTTAATTGGCAAAAAGTTTCAATTTGATGATAAATTATCTGAAAACTTTCTCAAGTACTTTTTTAAAAATTCTTTTGCAAGAAGCTCTATTCCCTTATGCTTAATAATTTTTCATTTAGAATTGATGACTCACTTTTGTGTATGGACAAGGCTCAACGTAATATGGTTTTTGCTCATTTAGAATTTCATCTCTCCCTACCGAGATACTATTTTCTAAGGAAAGCCAAACAATTGCGCATTAAAGAAGAAAAACTAAAAAGCAAACGTTCATTTAATAAGCTACATAAGGCTATAACAGAAACAATGCCAGCAGTTATAGCCAGTTATGAAGCGGAGCTCAGAAGATATTCGGAATTACTGTAAGTTTTTCTAATTACTATGTTATAAACAAAAATACAAATGTCATTTTATGTATTTCTAGTGCATCCAACTCAAATACAGAACAACCTCCCAAAATGCCAAAGAAAAAATTCCCCTGGAATACAAATTTAAGGTAATATTTTTTCATTTTAATAAATGTCTATTTTTTTGTAATTCATTTTACATATACATTAGAAATCTTTTGTACGATGTCTATCAAGTACGTTGGACTACATATCCAGTCTTGGGTACACGCAAAGAAACTCTCGAAGAATTCATTACGAACTATATGCGAGATAAAGTTGTAGAGATTTGGCCTAAAGGCTGGATGCGCTATGAAGAGCTGCAAAAAGAAATCGAAAAACGTAAAACAGCAGCTAAAAAAGCTAAAGAGAAGAAGAAGGTTGCATCAGCCACTACCTCAGGACAATCTTCACCCAATCCCAATGTGGCAAATAATCCATTGACATCAATACAAATTACAACTGTTTCTTCACTAGCTGCATCATCTACGAACCCCGGTCTTCCCAATGCAACATCAACGACAACCACTACAGCACAACCAGTTTCTTATTTGAAGCAATTTGATGAATTAGCTTCACGTTCTAATGCCAACTCGGATACGGATTCTGTAGCCAGCAGCAGTACATCATCAACTTTGAAGCGTAAAAATACAGATGCTAATCGCAATAAGCCAACAAAACCTAAAGCGGCGAAACTGAATGGCGACCAAACAAAATCAATCAATAATAGTAATAACAATAGAAATATCCCTCCCACCATATCAGTTGACCTAGTATCGCCCAACAAAAGAACTGATCACAGCATTAATCATATAATGTCACCAACCGAGGGTTCAGCGACAACTTCAACGGCTTCATCAATATTTAGTTCCACTACAGCGGCTGTATCGCAGCCTTCAAAACATTCCACTAATACACATGTCATTGATCTCGATAACTATAAAAGTGTCGGTGATATAATACAAACATCGAAACAACTACAGGCGGCAGCTGCATCATCACCATTAAACACAAATAATAGTACATCAGCGAACACGGTGCCACGACGTGAAAGTAGTGGTGATTCAGAAATTGAAATTGTTGGTGTTTATCCAGCCAAACAGCAAAATAAAAAACTGAAATCTA